GTCGTGTATTATAGTGGTGTCATGAATTTATACCCCATGGCTTCGAAATAGACAATGGATGAATATTGAGCTTATTTACCCTTTAATTAAACACTTGATCATCATGCGCATACAGTGTATTGTTTGTTTCCAGAACCCACTCAAGCAGACTTCAACTTTTCTTGTCAAATTCCCAATTAAGGTTAAATACAACCTAACTTTATATTAAATGTGCGTGTTCCATACTTCCATTAAGTATATTTTGCTTCATACATTGCATGGGTGTGCTTGTGGGAACACACATGTTTGAATGCTTGGCATGGGTTAATGGTAATAATTTTACTGTAGTCATCAGGGGGATATAGTTGTATATTTCCGAAATTACCTTCCATTAAAATGCATTCCCTAAAATTTTGATTTTTTTCTTAAATCGCCCTATATCGCTCAAACTGACATTGCTTTAAAGTTGCAGATTTTGCTTAAATCACCTAAAATTGCTTAAACTCGCATTATCTTGTCACCGCCTCAGAGTAGGGCTAGCTACTGTTGCCATTGCTTTTTAGTCCCCAATACTTCAGTGAGTCACGCTTTGGAAATGACAATAATTTTTTTATTACCCAACCCTCGAGTTGTTTTGTTTTTCATTTACCCAACCTTTTACTTACTCAAAATTTTGTTTACCCAACCCTTTTCTCTTCGATGCCACCCCCCGCCATAAATAATGACCGGTCCCTTAGCTCGAAGTCATTGAAAATATTCGAAGCTCGACTAAGCCCCGACATTTGAAGCATGTAAAAGAGCAATGAGTTGAGTCGTCCACAATCTAGATGGAAATAGTTATACGTTTCTGCCTAAATAAGCTTCAGCCTAAATGAGTCACGAACAACTCATGAGCCTTAATTTAAATCAGTTTTAATCACATGACGATATGACTTTAAAATATAAACAACTTAAAGCAGCTGGAGGCAAAATAATCTAGTGGAATGGACGAAGTATTGCAAGTCTGTGAAGCCAGAATCGATTCCTGGTGGTATATCAACAATCTCACCAAATTGCCAAGAAGTGAAGGCTAAAACCGAATATATTCACATAATTCAAGGTTCAAGTCCTACAGAAGCCATTTTGTGATTTGAAAATGGCTGAATTATAATTATATAAACTAAAGAAACAAATGAGGTGAATAAGTTGCGATAGGCTACCAACAACGAGCAAGTGTTGTAGTGGTAAAGACTGCATGCAGGCTGTATAATGTATCATTGTGGTTCAGGTCCTACAGAAGTCATTTTAGGATTCGAAATGCTCGAATTTTAATTATAAAAGCTAGACATAAAATAAGGTGAATAAGTTGCATTAGGCTTCCAACAACGAGATATACAGGGTGTATCAAAAAAAGCGCAATCCTCGACTGAAATGTAAATTGCTAAACAAATAATAGACGAAAACGTTAAAGTTTACATTCATTTTAAAGCGTAGCCATTCAGCTTTCTAACAGTGGGTTGTTTCTTAAATTTGACTCATTGGTTCGCGGATAATAATACTTTACGTTATTGCGATTGGAGATTAAAAAAATTGAGATGGAATAACAAATCGTTCTCATGAAAATAGCTGATTTTTTCATTAAAACAAAAAAATGTTGCATTTTATTAAATGGATTGTAACAATAAGTATAATTACGGCTTTTCTTCCACTATTTTTAACTCAGTTTGAAACTTCAAATGCGATATAATTTTGGCTTGGACCATCTAAGCTGACTGACATCAACTTGCTATAATTTCTGCTTACATTACATCGCAATTCGATGACACTCTGGCTCAGACACCAGAATGTTTTGACGATTTTTAGCATTCGTTTAGATTTTCAAACAACCTGGTCTCTTTTAAAATACTTTTAATTTGTTCTTACGTGGTTTTCCAGATGTAGTGACGACAACATTAAAGTTTAAGGAAGAAAATTCTAACATTTAAATCGACTAAACAATAACATAGTAAACTTGCATAATTAAACAGCAACTAAAAATGATAGGTTTTACTAAATCTTTTCCTGTGCAATTGTTACTAGCATTGGAGACAAGGATAATAGTTTGTTTGAAAGAGAAAAGAACAGGCTTTGAAGTAAGCCTAAAAGCGTTTAACTAGAGATAGTATTTCGAAAGTTATTAAGCACAAAAGTTGAATTGCGTTTATTTTGATACACTCTGTATATAGTGGTCTTGTGGTTCAAGTCTACAGGCTGTGTAATGTACCATTGTGGTTCAAGTCCTACAGAAGTCATTTTGTGACTTGAAATGCGTCGAATATTAATTAAGCAGGTTAGAAGAAAAAGGTTATGGTGAATAAGTTGCGATAGGCTTTCAACGACGAGCAAGTGGTCTAGTGGTAGAGACTATATACAGGCTGCGTAATGTACCATTCAGGTTGAAGTCCTACAGAAGTCATTTTGGGATTGGAAAATGGTTGAATTTTAATCATACAAGCTAGAGATAAAAATAAGGCGAATAAGTTGCGAATAAGTGGCTTCCAACAAGTGGTCTAGTAGTAAAGACTACACGCTGTATAATGTACCATTGTGGTTCAATTTTGTGACTTGAAATGTGTCGAGTATTAATTAGTATAGGTTATTTTGAGACAACGAAGGGAGATGTGATTTATTCACCGAGGCGCGCAGCGCCGAGGTGAATAAACACATATCTCCGAGATGCCTCAAAATAACAAACTTATTTTTCACATTGCGTGGTCGCGTTCATGAGTCAGAATAGGAATAATTCTTAATGCCATATTGCCTTCGTTATGTTGTTTTTCTCATTTTTTGTGCGGCAAAGACATTGCAGGTGAATATTAGAGGGGATTATTAAACGGAAATTGATTAGAAGGGAATATTGAATATATTCCCCGATAAGAACAAAGGAAACCGAGCAGGGTGAAAAATAACACAAGCTAGAGAAAAAGGTTAAGGTGAATAAGTTGCGATAGGCTTCCAACAACGTGGTCTAGTGGTACAAAAGTACAGGTGAAAAACCAACAGTCGAGGTAGTGTACTGGACTAAACACAGTGTTGTATGCTTGGAAAACATGGATCGACCCCTTCTGAGCACAACATTCTTTTCGCTGTTACACCAAGCAACTTGAACTTGTCTCGCAATGTTAAAAAAGACGATTTTGGCATTGCATTTCAAGGGATGTTACACCAAGCAAACCATGCAACTTGCAATGATAACAGTACAAAAACGGGGAGTGCTAACGTCTGGCGCCAGATTGACAGTCAAAAGCCAATAGGAAGCCATTCAGTGTATAAACATTGCGAGACTAGTTGCAAGAGGGATGTTATACTGTGAAATGCGTTGCTGAGTTGCCGCGGCAATCGTTGCAAAAATTATAACCTGATTATACTTTGTGGCGTGCAACGGTTGTTGCAACAATAATATTACGAGACCTGTTGATTGCGAGACATGATATACCTTGCAATTTCGCGTGCAACTTGTGTCGCAACAAAATTAGGAGACAAATATCATATAGTGTAACATTCATTTCAGTGTTTGATTCCAACTCTGAGAGTAAACGGTTAAATAAAATAAAAAATACCAGCTAACAAGCAACAGGCACAATAGTCTAGTGGTCTCGGATAGGGCGAATGTCAGTGAAGTCAGGATCGTTTCCTATCCTGCATGTCAAGGATCTTTTGGTCTTTGTCAGGGTTACGAGTTAATTGTATAATTATAGTGTAGTAATGTTGTAATACTTTATTCACATGTGCCTACACTTTATACAGGGTGTATAAAAAAAAACGCAACCTCGGAATTTCCTAAGAAATCACTTAAGAAATCACAATTCTTAAGCATAAAAGATTTTAGGCCCCTGGGAATTGAAATCGAATTGTTAGTAGATCATATTACTGTTGTTGTGCATTAAATAAATGCATAAATTTTGCTTTATGCACTCGCGTGTGCAGTAGTTTTGACAGTTATGCTATTTTAAATTCCCAGGCGCCTAAAATCTTTTGTCTTTAAAACAATGTCGATTTCTTGGGAAATTCCGAGGTTGCGCTTTTTTTGATACACCCTGTATACTAACTGATTTACATAAATTATACATAATGAATTCCTAGGAAATACACTACATCTTCCCCCGGGAACAATTTCCAAATATTATTCTACTTCTATTCATTCTACAATGCATTTTTTTTTCTTTTCTTTTTTTTTAAAACATTATAGTATTAATAGATATAACTAGATAAAGTTCAATGATAGACAAAGTCCTTAGATATTGTGGACTTTGATACACGTCCTGATCTAGTTCTTATTACAGTATCTTTTGCAGAATTAGCTGTTTCTACCCCATTGTTAGATTTAGGTTTAACCTCTTTATTATCTAACATGTCATCGAATATTAATGCCCGTTCCGCAATCGGAGCACGAGTCAGAAACTTCACATTTCTAATATATGTTTTCCCGTCTAATGTATTAACTACCTTGCAAGTATCTCTTCCTTCAAAGTCTATAATCACATACTTAATATTGTCAAATTTAGACTTGAGCTTACTATTACTATCACACTTACTCCTAGCAAGATACACCATATCACCAACCACAAACGAGTGCGCTTTTACACGTTGTTTACGATCGTGATAAGACTTCACTCGCTTTTGATACGATCGTGCATCTCCCTCTACATTGCTTGAGCTCACATCAACATTCAGCTTAATTGACGGAAGCTCTGTACGTATCTCCCTACGAAAAAGCAAACTTGCCGGAGTTTTTCCTGTCATGGGATGAGGAATACTCCTGTACGGCATCAAAATTTTAGGGAGTTCCTCCTCCCAGGATCTACCCTCAAGAGTAACAGCTCGAAAATTCTTTTTCAAATACCTGTGAAACCGTTCGATTTTCCCGTTACTTCTTGGGAAGTAAGGAGAACTACGTACATGCGTTATCTGAGACAACGTCCTCAGGATAACCATGCCTAGCAAATATATTCATCAAAATTTTAACAATACTTTTTGAGGTTATGTCTCGGGTAATGGCCACTTCAGGAAAGGAAGAGTAATAGTCGATCGATATAGGTTACTAAGTACTTATTATCTATCGGACCTACGATATCAACCGCACCTTTTAACCACGGCGCTTTGGGTAACTGCACTGGCTGCAAGGGTGTATTATTATTTAACGGTCTACTTGCAGCGCATGCTGGGCAGTCTTTAATCGTAGACTCGATATCCCTATCCATACCTATCAAAAAAAATTTTGACCTTAACAACTGCTTGGTTCGCACTATTACAACATGACTTTCATGAGCAAGTTTCAAAATCCGCTTCTTAAGAAAAGTTGGAACGACAATACGATTTCCGCGCAATAAAATACCTTCGAAAACCGAAAACTCATCCCGAAACTTGTCAAAAGGTTTAATATCAGCATCAGCTGGCCATGCCCCCACGTGAACCAAATTCATAATTTTAGTCAAAATTTTATCTTTTGTCGTTTCCTCTTTCACCTCTGATAACGACAACGCACAATTGTAAGGCATATCATTTTCGACCACAAATTTGACATACTCATCCGCAACGTTACCCGAACTAGTTTCATCTAATTCATTTAAAGGTAACCTTGAGAAAGAGTCGGCAATATTCATTTTACCTTCAATATGTTTTATCTTATACTCATATTGATGCAACCTCCACGCCAAACGTTCAATTCGTGGGGGCAACATCTTTTTACAATCTAAGGAAAGCAAACTGACTAATGGTTTGTTGTCAGTGAGCAACGTAAATTCAGTACCAAAAACATAATTATGAAATCTTTCAGCCGCCCAAACACATGCCAGTGCCTCGCGTTCAATCTGCGAATTTCGCGCTTCAGTAGGTGTCAGAGATCGATCGACTTATATATGCGACAGGCTTTAGCTCACCTGTTGTTTGCTCCTGTAACAGAACCACACCTAGTCCTACTGGACTAGCATCTGTTACAAGAACAGTGGGATCATCTAACTTAAAACAAGCCAACACTGGTTCGTTAGAAAGTGCACGTTTCAACTCCTCAAATGACTTTACTTGCCCACTATCCCATGTTCAGTTAGTGCCTTGCCTTGTCAGCCGCCTAAGGGGTTCAACCAGCTCGGCGTAATTCGGTATAAACTTCGATACATAGCCACAAACGCGTAAAAATGATCTCAATTCTGCAACGTTGGCAGGAGGGGGAGTCTCTTGAATTGCTTTTGTTTTCACCGGGTCTGGTTGAATACCTTTGGCTGAAACGACATGACCCAACACCGGTATTTGGGTAAGCCCAAACTCGCACTTTTTAGGGTTTAACTTTAAGTTACGTTCCCTACACCTTTCAAATACCTCGTGCAGCCTACTTATTAATTGATATATCGTTACTGCATGCACGATGACGTCATCTACCGAGATTTCTACCCCTTTTAGGCCGAACAAAATTTCTTCTATGACTTTTTGGAAGGTTTCGCTGATATCGCTTAACCCAAACGGAACATACTTGAAACGAAAGCAGCCTTCGTTTGTTATAAACGTTGTCAAATATCTACATTCCTCTGACAGCGTTAATTGGAAAAATCCGCTTCTTGCATCAATTTTTGCAAAATATTTTGAGCCATTTAGGGCATCCAAAGTGTCTTCTACTTTGGGAAGGACATATTGTTCCCTTACAATGGCTTTATATAACTCTCTAAAATCACAGTAAACCCTTAAACCTCCTGATGCCTTAGGCACCACTACAAGATTTGAAACCCAAGGGCTTGGTTCGGGTACCTCTTCAATGACGTCATCCTTCAACATTTTATCAATTTCATCATTAACCTGCTCTATTTGACTAAGGGAATTCTTCGCAGGCGTTGGCTTACTGGTTTAACATTTGGATCTAGTTTAATTTTATGCGAATAATTTGTAATTTGACCTAACCCGTGAAACAAGTCATTATATTCATTAACTAATGAGTTCAATCTTGGGTCATTAATCTTCTTAGAGTTAGAGTTAGTCTGCTTCACAAATTTGACTTGTTTTTTGGGGGGGTTTTTTATATAAACTTTATTTAGCTGTTTGCCCCAAAGGCCATGCTTATCGAGGGGGCTCACAAAAAAATTTGACTTGTTTGAATATTCCGAAGTCAAAAGAGCTTTTTCTCCCGAGCAGCGACTCGGCTTGGCCTTTAATTACGTACACAAAGCTATGAATAGTCATGATACCTGCTTTCAAACTGGCTTTAAATCGACCAAGGCAGGTTAGCGGTACCTTCTGACCATATGCCACAAACTGTTTGGTTGTGCTTTCGAGTGGGTATTCTTTGAATTGCTCTGTATACAACTGGGAAGCAATAATGTTCTGCCTACAACCGGTGTCGGCGACCATCTTTATCTTGCGACAATTGATTGTAATCTGGACAGGACTGTCTTGCCCTTCCATGAACAGAATCTGTTCGTCTTCGGATTCGCTTTCAATGCACGATTCATTACTATCTGAATCTTTGCGTCGAATTACACGTACGTGTCTATACGCTTTCGTCTTTTTACTCGAAGTCTTTTGAGATTCATACGGCTTTCGAGATACACTCTTCGAGCGACATACTCGAGCAAAATCTCCTAACCTTTGACAGTTATTACATTTCATACTTATGGCTCGACAATCTGATGGCTTGTGGCCCACGCCGCCACACCTATAGCACTTGAAATTTTCACTATTGTAATTCCTATTTCGCTTGTCAGGCTTATTCAGCCGGTCAATGTTAATGATGTTGTCTCTTGTTTCATAACCAGAAAGGAGTCGTGCTTCTTTTATGGCGCTTTCGCTACTTCTTGCTATTCTGAGGGTCTTAGCCAGGTCTAGTTCTTCCTGAGCTAAGAGTCTTTCTCTTAGTTGTTTTGAATAGCATTTTTCTACGATTTGATCCCAAGCAAACCATTTCCATAATCTTGTATACATAGACAATAGTTTAGGTTAAAATTTAGTCGAAAAACTTGACTTAAAAAGGCTCGAAAAGGCGAAAAATAAACTCGGCCAAAATCTCAACATTTAAACGAAAAAAAACTCTTTAAAATGACAGCTAAATACATGAACTCGTACTTAAAACAAGCACACACTAAAGGGGTTGAGAAAAAGAGGTAAATAGCTACAAAGTATTGTTGAATTTCAACGATTCTGCTTGGAATATTATAAACAAACATTAATTGTGCATATATTTTAAAAAATCGCCTGTCACTTGCATGCTCAAAACAACGAGCAAAGTTGAGAAAATTTTACCGCATGTGTCAGCAGTTTCCAAGAGTCTTTGTGTGTAATCCAGAACCAAAATTAGGCTATTTTGATAAGCCTTTTCCCATTAAATGCAACTTTTAATACTTAAAAACGGCCATTAACTATAGCTCTCGCACCCTTCGCCTCTGTTGCTACGAGTAGGCTATCACTAATAGCCTACAAGCAGCGTAGCCAATCAGAACGCACGATACATGATAGCCTACTAGTAGGTTTATACTAATTAGAATTGAACCATTTTCGAATCCCAGAAAGACTTCTGTTAGACTTGAACCTCAATAATATATTACACAGCTTGTAGTCTCAGTTACCACTAGATCATTTTCTCGCTTTTTGATGCCTATCGCAAATTAATTTACCTTATTTTTTTGAATTTTTTCCCTAGCTTGTATTATTAAAATTTAATTATATTTGAATCCCAAAATGATTTCTGTAGGACGTAAACCTATATGGTACATTACACAGCGTGTAGTCTTTAGCCGCAAAACCACTTGCTCATTTTTGAAAGCCTGCCTGTAGGACCTGAACCTCAATGGTATATTACACGGCCCGTACTCTTTACCACTTGACCATTTGCTCACTTTTTGAAGCCTATCACATCCTATTCACCTATCTTTTCTCCAGCTTGTATAATTAAAACCTGAAACTCAATGGTACAGTAGATTACACAGCCTGTAGTTTTTACCACTAGACTACTTTCTCGTTGTTTGACGCCTATTACAACTTATTTACATTATTTTTTCTCTAGCTAGTATAATTAAAAATTAACTATTTTCGAATCCCAAAATGAATTCTGTTGGATCTGAACCTGAATGGTATATTATACAACCTGTAGTCTTTACCACTAGACAATTTGCTCGTCCTTTGAAGCCTATTGACAATTAATTCACCTTATATTTTTTTCTCTAGGCTGTATTATTAAAATTTAACCATTTTCGAATCCCAAAATGATTTATTTAGGACCTGATCCTCAATGGTATATTACACAACCTGTGGTATTTACCACTAGACCACTTGCTCGTTGTTGAAAGCGTTCGCAACTTATTTTTCTTTCTAGGTTGTATAATTAACAAATCCCAAACTGACATTTTGCGATCGGAACCTCAATGGTACATTACACAGCCTGTAGTTTTTACCACTAGACCATTTGCTCGTTGTTCGACGC